GGTCCACAGTACGAAAACTAATCAGCTGCAATCGCAAAGGTGGATCAGGCGAGGGCGTTTCTCGTTCGTTGTAGCATAGGGGGTACGCGCAGTCTTACGTCTCTATCGGACCCGCACGCGAACCGGCGCACTGGGGGGCTGAAGTCCCAAGCGCGATTCGTCGTTGGTCGATTAGGACGCATCTCACTTTCCACGCGTTACTTGCCTAGCCTTTGATGGACCCAGCCAGACACACGCAATATTGCCTTCCTCCCATCCTTCCCCCAGATGCAATCTCTTCCCACAATCTGCTTTCAATCGGACAACAAAACTGAAGCTCACATTACACATGCATTCTTTTACTTAAGTCTGAATCATGTCTTGAAAGTCAAACTTAAAGTCAAAGTACGGATGCAGGCAGTATACTTAGTCAAATTTAGCAAAAAGTATGAATAGAGGTTATAACTGGGTTTATAAAAGGAGGATGAAACCGTTACCTCTCAATTCCCTGCCTCTAAAACCCCTCCTGAGTTCCGACAGAGCTCCCAATCGGTGGGCTAACTCCCCACAAACTCTTGTTGTGGTCCTACGAGTTGCAATCCCGCCTGCCGCCTTCCTCTCTAAACAATATTAGGCTGAGATTAAGAAGTGCAGAAGATAAGGGGTTTCAAACTCTTGGGATACAGGAGGGGGACAAACTCAACTCCCAGGAGAGGGTTTTAAAACCTTCATGCGCCTGAGGGCCCCGCAATGATGGTCAAATTGCACAATAATCTGGCCAAACTGACGTCCAACTATTAGCCGCTGAGTCTCTGACGTCTCTCCAAACCACAACAATGATCTCCTCATAGAACTCAGACGCCACCTCCAACCCTCTGGCCCTAACCTCCGGCTGAGCGGTGTAAGATACTTTTCCTACGGGAAGCGCTGCTGAAATGTTTTCTTAGTTAAAAAAAAAATAGATTATATTTTGACAGGTGACGATTTTGGCAATCCACTCTGCATAGGGGAGATTTTGTCAGGGTCTACCTTTCTTTTGACACTGACTTAGAGGTTGACTTAGACTTAGTTATAAGAAGGATTTTGAGTGCGAGCGTGACATGGAGATTTATTCTTCATACACTGATAAGTATTAGTCTGTAAATTGACATGTCTTGTGCTACAGGTCCCTTGTTGATTAATTCAATTCAGGATTGGACTAAGATTCATCTTGATCCCATGAGGATAATCTTCTGTTATCACTGATAACAGGTCGGTTGGATGATCGCCGACTCATCGGCTCACGACAGAACTTTGTTTATACCTGTACCTCAACTTGATGCCTCAACCCTGAGATTTGATATGTTTCTTTGAGGGATTTAACTAATCTTCTTTTAATGTCTATTATCTGTGCAGCACCGTGTTCGTGTTCAAAGGCGAACGGGAACAACCGCCCAAAACCCTTTGAACGCGAACATTAAAAAAAATAAAAAATAAAAAAAATAAAAAAAATCTGAAAAGAATATATGTTATGTGAAATATTAATACAAGCAACGTTTGTCTTGGAGTAATGTTGAAATTCGTTGCCAATCATGAGTTAAAAATAAAAAACCAATTCTTTTTCTTTTTTTTTTTTTACCAAAAAAAATTGTGTTAGCCCGAACATGTTCGCGAGCTGTTCGCGCGAACGTGAAGGGGCACGAACACGTTCGCCATGCTACGCAGGCCATTATAAAGAACTTATGAGATTTATGGAAAGCTGAACTATGATTGAGGCTTGAGTGTGTGAGAAGTGGTGTGAGTTACAGGGAACGGTAAAGTTGATCATATTGGTGTATGGCAATGTGGCCTTCGTCTGCGTCTGTGTTTTATACAGGTTAGTGTCTTGGAGCCTATGTACGAGCCTTACTTTGGAGGCAATGAGAATGACAATCATGTGTCGCACGATCTGCATACCTGATGGGTTTATCTTTCCTTCTTTTGATTTATCTCGAGTTCTGATTTAATATGGATATTGGAATGTCTGTTTATTTACTGAGTAATTTTGCTTGTTAATTTTATGGTTGGACGTTGAAGTCCGTGGCAGCCGTCAAAGTCAAACCCTTTGACCTGATGACAAACCCCTGCTGAGGGATTTTGTCTTCATGGCAATAAGAGACGATTGCCATTACAGGCAGGGTTGCCGAACCCCGGCCCCGGGACCCCGCCGGGGTTCCGGGGTTCCGGGGGTCGGCACCCGCGACCCCGGCCCCCTGTAGGG